TTACGAAACGCGTTGGCAACGCCTAAGCCACAGACGCCAAAACTCTAGAGACCAGTAAAGCAGCTTCCATATACCCCGTTCAACCCGTAGCGGTTACATCAGCCAGGACAACCCACAGACTTTTGCTGGTAAGGGCTTCTTCTTCTTCTTCAGCATTCCGAGCCATCGAGGTTCATTGATGCTGATATCACCTGCATTTATTCATGTCTCTGGTTAGCCTTCTCTTTCTGTTTGCATCAAAAACATGCAAACAGCGGGGAATGGAGAGTGAGAAGCAAGAACGAAATCATGATTTGTTTAAAACACTACTGATCACTGGCATCATGAAATCGGGTAAGGGCGACTGATGGGAATTTTATTAAAGACATAAAAAAGCACTTGGTAGAAAAAGGATGAGATCACAGTGAAAATATTTAAATAATAATAATAATAATGAGCTGTCTTCCAGGTAAAAATAGGCGGCCGTGCACCTAATGCACGGAATATACTGATTTTATTTAAGAAGGAGGGCCCGACCAGTGAGTAAACTTGATATAAGTGACACTTTATGTAAAAAAAAAAAAAAACACACACACACACGCATGAGAGACCTGGAGAGAGACCGAGTTTCTTTCGAGCAGACCTTGATTAGAGCGAACGAACGAACGAACGAACGAATGAAAAAACGAACGAACAACCGAACTTTATTTTCAAAGGGCCACAAATTAGACACGCAGGCCCGTCTTACATTCGGCCCTTCCAAACACCCGTCTTTCACACTGCAGCTGTATTTTATCAATAATCATGTTATATTTTTATGATAATATGCATATTATAAATATATTTTTTTTTAAAGGAGAGAAAAAATAAGCAGCACAAAAACAAGGGTGGTAAAATGCATGCACACACGCAAACCCACCCACTCACTTAAACACACCCACCCACTCACTTAAACACACCCACCCACTCACTTAAACACACCCACCCACTCACTTAAACACACCCACCCACTCACTTAAACACACCCACCCACTCACTTAAACACACCCACCCACTCACTTAAACACACCCACATACCTTCACACACACATAAACACATCCCATTCACCCAGGTGCTGTAAGGGACCTGCCGCATGATGATGATTAACGAATCTTTTCCATGGTGCGACCTTTATGCGACTGCCTAAATGCAGGCGTGTCGGAGATCCTACTCATTCTTCTTCTGTCTTTCTAGCCTCCCAGTGGAGCATAGGCCCTCAACCAGCTCATGACAAGTTGTTCTATCCTTCGCTATCGTATGCAGCTCTTCCCATGTCCTATCCATCTTTATAATTTCACTCATTAGCTCCCTTTTCCATTTTTTCTTCGTGAGTTCCAGTGCAAAGACATTCTAGTTACATTGTTCGCATGTTTTCTCAACGTGTGTCCTATCCAACGCCAGCGTCTTTTCTTCACCTCTTGATCCACTGCAGCTTGTTTAGTTCTCGTCCAAAGCTCAACATTAGTGATTCTATCAAACATTTAATACCCTCTCTTCTGCGCAGGCACCAGTTAAAGAATGTTTGTAGTTTATTAGCCACTGCCTTACTTGATCTCTATGTTTCTGCTTCCTACAGAAGAACTTCTTCTTCCTTCTTCTTCTTCTTCTCTTCCTCCTCTTTCTTCTTCTTCTTCTTCTTCTTCTTCTTCTTCTTCTTTTACTTCTTCTTCTTCCTCTTCTTCTTCTTCTTCTTCTTCTTCTTCTTCTTCTTCTTCTTCTTCTTCTTCTTCTTCTTCTTCTTCTTCTTCTTCTTCTTCTTCTTCTTCTTCTTCTTCTTCTTCTTCTTCTTCTTCTTCTTTCTTCTTCTTCTTCTTCTTCTTCTTCTTCTTCTTCTTCTTCTTTCTTCTTCTTCTTCTTCTTCTTCTTCTTCTTTCTTCTTCTTCTTCTTCTTCTTCTTCTTCTTCTTCTTCTTCTTCTTCTTCTTCTTCTTCTTCTTCTTCTTCTTCTTCTTCTTCTTCTTCTTCTTCTTCTTCTTCTTCTTCTTCTTCTTCTTCTTCTTCTTCTTCTTCTTCTTCTTCTTCTTCTTCTTCTTCTTCTTCTTCTTCTTCTTCTTCTTCTTCTTCTTCTTCTTCTTCTTCTTCTTCTTCTTCTTCTTCTTCTTCTTCTTCTTCTTCTTCTTCTTCTTCTTCTTCTTCTTCTTCTTCTTCTTCTTCTTCTTCTTCTTCTTCTTCTTCTTCTTCTTCTTCTTCTTCTTCTTCTTCTTCTTCTTCTTCTTCTTCTTCTTCTTCTTCTTCTTCTTCTTCTTCTTCTTCTTCTTCTTCTTCTTCTTCTTCTTCTTCTTCTTCTTCTTTCTTCTTCTTCTTCTTCTTCTTCTTCTTCTTCTTCTTCTTCTTCTTCTTCTCTTCTTCTTCTTCTTCTTCTTCTTCTTCTTCTTCTTCTTCTTCTTCTTCTTCTTCTTCTTCTTCTTCTTCTTCTTCTTCTTCTTCTTCTTCTTCTTCTTCTTCTTCTTCTTCTTCTTCTTCTTCTTTCTTCTTCTTCTTCTTCTTCTTCTTCTTCTTCTTCTTCTTCTTCTTCTTCTTCTTCTTCTTCTTTCTTCTTCTTCTTCTTCTTCTTCTTCTTCTTCTTCTTCTTCTTCTTCTTCTTCTTCTTCTTCTTTCTTCTTCTTCTTCTTCTTCTTCTTCTTCTTCTTCTTCTTCTTCTTCTTCTTCTTCTTCTTCTTCTTCTTCTTCTTCTTCTTCTTCTTCTTCTTCTTCTTCTTCTTCTTCTTCTTCTTCTTCTTCTTCTTCTTCTTCTTCTTCTTCTTCTTCTTCTCTTCTTCTTCTTCTTCTTCTTCTTCTTCTTCTTCTTCTTCTTCTTCTTCTTCTTCTTCTTCTTCTTCTTCTTCTTCTTCTTCTTCTTCTTCTTCTTCTTCTTCTTCTTCTTCTTCTTCTTCTTCTTCTTCTTCTTCTTCTTCTTCTTCTTCTTCTTCTTCTTCTTCTTCTTCTTCTTCTTCTTCTTCTTCTTTCTTCTTCTTCTTCTTCTTCTTCTTCTTCTTTCTTCTTCTTCTTCTTCTTCTTCTTCTTCTTCTTCTTCTTCTTCTTCTTCTTCTTCTTCTTCTTCTTCTTCTTCTTCTTCTTCTTCTTCTTCTTCTTCTTCTTCTTCTTCTTCTTCTTCTTCTTCTTCTTCTTCTTCTTCTTCTTCTTCTTCTTCTTCTTCTTCTTCTTCTTCTTCTTCTTCTTCTTCTTCTTCTTCTTCTTCTTCTTCTTCTTCTTCTTCTTTCTTCTTCTTCTTCTTCTTCTTCTTCTTCTTCTTCTTCTTCTTCTTCTTCTTCTTCTTCTTCTTCTTCTTCTTCTTCTTCTTCTTCTTCTTCTTCTTCTTCTTCTTCTTCTTCTTCTTCTTCTTCTTCTTCTTCTTCTTCTTCTTCTTCTTCTTCTTCTTCTTCTTCTTCTTCTTCTTCTTCTTCTTCTTCTTCTTCTTCTTCTTCTTCTTCTTCTTCTTCTTCTTCTTCTTCTTCTTCTTCTTCTTCTTCTTCTTCTTCTTCTTCTTCTTCTTCTTCTTCTTCTTCTTCTTCTTCTTCTTCTTCTTCTTCTTCTTCTTCTTCTTCTTCTTCTTCTTCTTCTTCTTCTTCTTCTTCTTCTTCTTCTTCTTCTTCTTCTTCTTCTTCTTCTTCTTCTTCTTCTTCTTCTTCTTCTTCTTCTTCTTCTTCTTCTTCTTCTTCTTCTTCTTCTTCTTCTTCTTCTTCTTCTTCTTCTTCTTCTTCTTCTTCTTCTTCTTCTTTCTTCTTCTTCTTCTTCTTCTTCTTCTTCTTCTTCTTCTTCTTCTTCTTCTCTTCTTCTTCTTCTTCTTCTTCTTCTTCTTCTTCTTCTTCTTCTTCTTCTTTCTTCTTCTTCTTCTTCTTCTTCTTCTTCTTCTTCTTCTTCTTCTTCTTCTTCTTCTTCTTCTTCTTCTTTTTTTCTTCTTCTTCTTCTTCTTCTTCTTCTTCTTCTTCTTCTTCTTCTTCTTCTTCTTCTTCTTCTTCTTCTTCTTCTTCTTCTTCTTCTTCTTCTTCTTCTTCTTCTTCTTCTTCTTCTTCTTCTTCTTCTTCTTCTTCTTCTTCTTCTTCTTCTTCTTCCTCTTCTTCTTCTTTTCCTCTTCTTCTTCTTCTCCTTCTTCTTCTTCGTGTTCACGAGCTGTGAACTCCAGTGGAAGGTTGTTTGTTCGTCCACTTCTGGACTGCAGTCCTTTTCCGGAACCTGAGTGTTGCGCGTGCATCCGTTTTACAGATCTGACTCATTTGTGTGCAGACTGCTGGTTCCTTGCCTCTCAGGCAGATGCACTCCAACTGTGAATAAAGCTCCTAATTAGTCGACTCTTACGACATGCTTTTGGATAGGCAGTGGGTCTATTCTTGTTTTCCCTATAATAGGACCTCTGAACCCACACAGGGAACACAAGTCCTGATTTGATATGACATCAGAATTCAACATTTAAAGTTTGGTATTTCTATCAATTTCCTTTAACCTCCACAAATTTTCTATGAAATCTTCTCTTGCCTTGTGTATTCGTATTTTAAAATCTCTATAAGTCTCTGCCCCACCCCACCCCTTTTCATTTATCTACATTATTGCCCAAATAGGTGTACGACTCCGTGTTCTGGGACTGGATACAATTAAGAGAAATCGCATTACTATTTGCATGATTTATTCTTATTATCTTTACTTTTCCCCCTTATGGGTTTATAGACCTAGCTGTTGTGATCTCGTATAAAGTATATATTAATTTATCTTGAGTCTGATTCAGTGAACAAGGCCGAAGAAAAATAACATCAGCGAAGTCCAGATCCTGAAGCTGTTCTGTAGGGGTCCACTAAATTCATTTCTTGGTGTTAGCAGTTACCGTCTTCATAATCCAGTCTATTGCCAGTAAAAATAAAAGAGGCTACAAACAATTTTCCTGTCGCACACCTGTTTTTATTTCAAAGGTATCTGTTAGCCTCCCGTCATTAGAGAGTTAAGTCAACTTTCGAATTGATAATGGGACCTAATTAATTGTTTGAATTGTAGCAACAACGGTTATGCTGAAGACAATGTCCCAGACGATGCAGACTGCAACCAGGAGAACTCCTATCGCATATGACTACCCACTCTCAGATCCTGTCACTGACGAAGAACTAAATATCCTTCTCATTGTCAACGGATGTGTACTCTTGGGCCTTTTGAGCGCATTTGGCAGCATCTGCAACGTTATCAACATCGTTGTGTTTCTCCGAATGGGTTTTAAAGACACTATCAACATATCTTTGTTTTGCATTGCTGTTGATGACACTGGCGCTTTGATTACCCTAATATGGGGCACTATATGTTTGAACCCTCTGATGATTCACAAATTTGAGGATTTGGAAATGTCAGAAATTAATTATGTAACGTCGGCTTGGCCGCACAGTTATTTTGTCCGTGTCACTGGTTTTACTACTTGCGTGGTCACAATTGAAAGATATATCTGTATTGCCTATCCATTAAAAGTACGCAACATTGTGACGTCTCGACGAACAGTTATCATAAACATCAGTTTGTTTGTCATTCTGTCCGCTGGAATAGTCCCTTTGTTCGCCTCAACCTACGCTGTTGTTAGGGCCAGTATCAGCAAAAACCGTACTGTCACCGGACTTATAACAAAAGAAGCTTTGGTCATCGAAAATTACGTCAGATATTCTAACAATATTTTAAGGCCAATCACTTTTATCATCGTTCTTTTTATGACAATTTTATTAATATACAGACTCAAGAGAACTGCAGAGTGGAGGAATTCAACGGCCACAAATTCTAAACAAGGCACAATTTCCAAGCGAGATCATAAAGTTGTCGTAATGGTGCTGTTTATTTCAATTTTCTTCATCGTGTGTTATTTCCCAATTTTCGTGAACTTTTTTGGAAGTGTGTTTGAGCAAGAGTACACTGTTGCAGGAAAGTATAGGAATCTGTTTACTACTATCGGCGTTTTATTGTTTCTCTTGGAAGCGGTGAATTCCACGTCGCATATTTTTATATACCTGAGGATGAGTTCAAAGTACAAAGAAGTCTATATGTCTTTGTTTGAGATGTCCAAAAAAGTTTAGCCTTGCAGTGTGTGTTAAAAAGAGTGAGCATTATTATTAACTGTCAACATACACAGCGGGGAATGGAAAAGTGAGAAGCAACAACGAGATTCACAATCTGTTTAAATTACCATTAATAACTGTCATCATGAGAGCTAATAGACTGAAATGGTTGGGGCATAATGGGAGAATGCCAGATGACAGAGAAGTGAAAATTGTATACACGAGGGAGACGAATGGTCGTAGACCACAAGGAAGACCAAGGAGACGATGAAGAGATGATGTCCAGATAGATCTGCAAACACTTGGTGTCACCAACTGGACAGAGAAGGTCAACCAGAGAGATGGAGGCGGGTGATATCTGCAGCAATGAACCTCAAGGGATCGGAATGCTGTAGCAGAAGAAAAAGAAGCAGAAGAACATACACAGATTAAAAGATTTTTTAAGTGATATAAAATGCCTGTGTTGTCGCAAGTAGGTAAAACATTGACAGTGAGCACAGGCTTAAAAAAACTGATGGCAGAAAATTTACGTGGTTTCTGGGAAAAATTGAAACAGCATAAACTAAAAGATAAATACTGTCTTCTTTTGTTCGCTTGAAATATATTATTTTTGTCTGCAGTGTTGTCTCTAGTTTGAACTTTACTGACTTTTTTTTATTTCACCCAGTTACCAGTGAAGGAAGAAGAAGAAAGAGGTTTGAGGTTTAAACAACAGATCATTATCATTTCACACGGGTAGTAACCCAAAAGTGCTCTGTTCTTTTTCTAACTCAAGTCTGAGTCCGAATAAGCTCACCACAGTGCACAGCTCTGTAGAACCGGCGAGGATCATTTTAACTCAAAATTGTGCCCGGCCAGCGCCGTTAGGCTACCCTTTTCGACTTCCGACAGTCAAGGGATTTTGTACGTGCGCAGCAATGCACAGGGGCGTATGATCTCACTACCCAGAGACTCAGGGGGAATTAGTAGAAGTCCAAGTCCAAGTGAAAACTTCCCAGCCTTTCCCGGGGATTGAGCCCTGAACTAGCACCCGAGGTGGACAGCATTCCCCGAGACTACGCAGCCGCAAGAAGAAGAAGGAAGAACAGATAAATTAATAATTAACCTCAGAAATCAAATGTATAAGGAAGACTGCAGGACTAACCAAAATAGAAAAGATGATAAGAGAGAAGTTTGATACAGAACCAGTTCTAACAATTATACAAAGAAAGTAGTCACGTGGTTGCCAACCGATAGAGAACGCCTTGTAGCGGCATAATATACATTGCATACACCAGAATAGGACAAGAACGTAAAGCATTAGGGAGATCAAGAACAAGACGGAAAGAAACATCAAGGAAACTCTACAATGGCACGATGTGTTTATGGTTGAGAATAGTAAGAAGCAAAATCGTAAATCTCCCTCGACACCCCATGCGGTAAAAGAGGAAGCAAAAAAGAAGAAAAGAAGAAGAGGAAGACATAAATTGACTTAAGAACAGAGATTACAGTATACCTGAAATTCTCATAATGACCCCGTCCGCACTCTCATCAGTCAGCGCTGAGTTTTCCTTGCTGAAGGTTCCAATAGCAATGCAATCTTAGGTCTCTCCTGCTTTTTCTCTGAGATTTGAGCTTCAGCCAGATCCTGCTGCCGTTCCTCTCGGTGATGTGATACTTTATGATCAAGCGGACTTGATAAAGAGTCTTTGGGATGAAATGGACAGTGTAATGATGAAATTCCCGGCGTACCCTTTATGACGCGATAGAGTGACAGGCCAGTGAGAAAACGGGCTACACCAAATAAAGAATAGTCACGAATGGGACTGAATAGTGACCTGCCCAAACTCCTTGAAAAGGGAACAAAGGGTTGGAAGGACACAGGAAAAAACGGCAGTTGCTCTTTGGACAGGAATGAAAGCGGTCACAATGTGCTGAGCGGAAGAATTGAAAATGAATGTCGTCTGCGTCGTGAAAACAAGTGGATGACTGGCTACAGGGTTGAATTCATAAACAGAGATCGGTTGTAAAATCTACGTTACGGATGAGTCTATGCATGTTCGTCAAAATGCGAAGCCTGGACTGAAAGGTAAATACCTGTGTGCTCGACGAACGATGTCATCTGCCATCTTTTGTGTCGCCAGCTCCACGACGACCAGATAACGAGACTACCGACTGCACTGTATTGTTGTTGGGAATGCAATAAACATTTGACTGTTTCCAGTGGGTATGGTTTACATCTTTGTGTTCTAACTCACTTGACAACATGATAGAAGTTAGAAACACGTCTAGGCTGTTCCAGTTGGAATCCAGGAACAACATCATTCCAGACAGTGTAATAAAATACACCGAGAATCCATACATAGAAAAACAATCTTTTTCAGTTGAATATCGGGAAATGAGTCGCCTAACGCCTCTGCAAAATTTGGAGTTATAAATCTACCTATAGTATTTCAGGATCCCCGCTGGTGCTACAAAGCTAAGCACTGTGCTGAGGATTTTCGGACTCAGGCTTGTGTGACAAGTAGAACGGAGCACTTATTGGTCACTACTCTTGTGTCATGAAGTTGATCCGTCGTCTAAACCTAAACGATGCAGCTAGTACCATTAGCATGTCGACCCTTCGTTGGCTCCTGAGAAAATTGACGGAACACAGCTGCAAATGTCCTCTACCCAATGGTGCCCATTCTTCATTAATTATTTGACTGATTAGTTTATTTTTACATATATTCAAAATTTTATATACCGTTTTCACTTTAAATTGGACACTTTTCAAATCATCTAGGGCGTTTTTCAAATCAAACTGGACACTTTTCAAACCATCTAGGACGTTTCCATATCAAACTGGACACTTTTCAAATCATCTAGGACGTTTTTTCAGATCAAACTGGACACTTTTCGAACCATCTAGGACGTTTACATATCAAACTGGACACTTTTCAAATCATCTAGGACGTTTTTCAGATCAAACTGGACGAGTAAAATAGCAAGACTGTATACATTACGTCCTCCAATACATGACTTTCTTTGTCAAGAATTATTAATTGTTGAAAACAAACAGTGTCCAGTTTGGTTTAAAAAGTGTCTGATTTGATTTGAAAATGGTCCAGTTTGGTTTTGAAAAGTGTCTGATTTGATTTGAAAATCGTCAAGTTTGGTTTGAAAAGTGTCTGATTTGATTTGAAAATGGTCCAGTTTGGTTTTGAAAAGTGTCTGATTTGATTTGAAAATGGTCCAGTTTTGCTTTGAAAAGTGTCTGATTTGATTTGAAAATGGTCCAGTTTGCTTTGAAAAGTGTCCAGTTTAAAGGGAAAATGGTATTTATTGTGCACTTGCAGTGTTAACTACATAGGCTTCCCGTGTAGGATCAGTAGCACCATTTTAAGGGAAAATAGGAGGATAGCCCCACTGCCCCTCCATCAAGCATGCCGTTAAAGGCTACTAATTAGGGACTTTTCCTCTGTAGTCTGAGCGTATCTGCCTGAGGAGAAGTGAGGGACAAAAGTCTGCATACACCTGAGCTGAGTCTGTTACACGGATTTGCATTCAGAATTCATGTTCTGAAACAAGATTAAATGCCAGAAGTGGACAAACATCCTGGATTGTCTGTCGAAGTCAACTGCATGGGAACGCTACAAAAGAAGATTTCTGGAGGCTTTTTTAACATCAGAGTTCATCCAGTTGTTGTTGTTGTTGTTATTATTGTTTTGTTGTTGTTGTTGTGCGCACTTGAAGACATAATTTAAAAAAAAGTAAAGGTCCCTTTTCCACGCCTTTGGGCATATAGGGCTAGACCTATATTTTATTGACCGATCGGTACTTGGTGGGTGTTATGGTCAGCATCACGCCGGCCGCCTTTATTTTCCAGGACATTTACCTGGTGTCTATTTAAAACTATGTCAACCATGAACCGAAGATAATTTTTTTTTTAAATGTTCTTCACCGTCCGTATTTGAACCCATACCTTCTCGTACGCAGGTAAAGTCGTATAGTCAAGAGGATCGACTTCAATTCACTGGGTTTAATCCAATATTTATCGGTCTCCCTCCCGTAAAACAACTAGCCGCCTGCAAAGAGCCCTGCACAGAGCATGAACGCTTTAGCTCCGGCGACGATCCCTATTGAGCGCAGGGCAATTGGCAGGACTACTCCGTCGCTCCGCAAGCTAGCGTTTTGTCACTACACCACTGGGGTCCCCTTAAGAAATGAATGGAGATAAAAACAAACTTGATTAATTCAAATAGCAGAATAGTGAGTGACTCAAAACAAACAAAGACCTATTAGTTTTCAAAAGCCAAGCATTTATTTTCCTTAAATCGTTAGATGTTTCTTTGCTTAAATAGTGTCCCCAAAAATGTAATAACAAACACTTCATAACTATAGTTCGTTTACACACCCGTGCCACTTCACAAATATTATGTAGCCGAAACTAATGAAATTTTGCATAGAACTATAACAACACGATATCTTTTAAAAAAAAATGAATTGTAAAATTCTTTGATGACCAAATAGGATGAAATAATATAATTAAGAAAAATAAAATGCCAGCGAAGCGTGCTCGTGTTGGTTTCTGTTGACGTTGTAATCCAGGATGATGGGTTTGTAGACTTAGTGTTTCTGCTGTAGACCCAAAAATAAACAATATTACAAACTAATTTAAATGAATATACCTAGATGTGTCGACACATAGATATTTGAGAAAAGTAGAGATGTGTAGACAGATGTGTATAAAGATACGTAGGTGTGTGGTCAAATATTTCTGAAGATAGTAGATGTGTAGACAAATTAAATGTAAATAATTAGATTGTAGGCACACACACACCTATGCATTTATATATATATATATATATATATATA